GGATTTGTGGGTGTGTGCCATGAGACAGACGTTGATTCAAAAACGGTGGGCTTTTCTTAGAATGAGTCCTGAAATACTCTTGTAAAGAGCACCCTCATTACTCTAGGCTATCTTTGGTTCATCAGTTTGAACTCTTGGTTAAAAAAAAAGTACTCCAAACCTGGGAGGTGATCAGGAAAAGGCTAAATATGAGATTCACCTAAGGGCAATCTTACATCGAATAGAAGGCTGAACTAAACCCCTATACCAAATTAAATGCCTTAAAATACAAGCTTAAATAAAAAAGGACCCCAAGAAATCTACAGAACACACACAGAGACACAAAGCAAACTCCTAGAACTAAGAAGTGCACTTAGCAAGGTCACAGTAAGTAAGGTCAGAATTAAACGTCAATTGTATTTATATATATTAGCAACAAACAATTGAGGTCAAAATTGAGATTATTTTAAACAAAACATGTGCAAGATCTGTATGATAAAACGTATAAAATGATGATGAAGGAAATCAAAGACCTAAATAAATAAAGAGATATACCATGTTCATGAAGTGAAAGACTCAATATAATAAAGATAAAAATTGCAGCAGCTTTTTTGTATATATGGACAAGCTTATTCTAATATTTATATGGAAAGATAAAGGAACTAGAGTAGAGCTGAAATAATATTGAAAAAGAATAATGAAGTTGGAGGAAATCATACTACTTGATTTTAAAACTTATCATATAGCAATAATAATCAACAGTAATCAAGACAGTTTGTTATCAGAGGAGAGACAAACACATAGATCAAGAACAGAGTCCAGAAATTAAGTCACATCATAAATGTGTCCACAATATTTTTTTTTAAGGTGCAAAAGCAATACAATGGGGGAAGAAGTCTTTTCAATAAATGGTGTAGACTTGCATAGGTTAAAAAGTTAACTTTTACCTAAGCCTTATACAAAAATTAACTCAAAATAAATCCTAGATCTAAAGGAAAACCATAAAACAATAAAAGTTCTAGAAGAAAACAGGAGAAAATCTTCATGACCTGGTGTTAGGCAAAGAATTCTTAGGCAATAAAAGTACAATCTCATTAGAAAAAAAAATACATTGGCATTGATCTTCATCAAAACTCAAAATTTTGTGCTTCTAAAGACCCTATTAAGAGGACGAAAAGACAAGCCCAATACTAGAGAATAACATTCACATATCCAACAAAGGACTCCTGCCCAGAATAAAGAATCTCCTAAACTCAACATTAAGAAAACAAACAATCCATTTATAGTTCATGATGCGTGAGCAAAACCGAAAGTTTCTGTGATATGACTGACCTTGCACTGTTCACCATGTAAGAACTTATTCATTATGTAATAACTTGGTCACCATGTAAGAACTTGTTCATTATGCTTCAGAAGATTGGAGACTGTTGAGAAATAGGCTTGGGGTCGATTAATGACTGTGCATTGAGTCCCCTATACAGAATTTTATTGTTGTTAACAACCATTTGATCAATTAATATGACAGACGCCTTCTCAAAAAAAAAAAAAAAAAGAAAAGAAAACAAACAATCCCATTAGAAAATGAGCAAAAGACTAAACAGAAACTTCACTGAAGAGGATATACAAACACGAAAATATGTTTCATCTTCATTAGCCACTAAGGAAATGAATATTAAAGCCACAGTGAGATTACTGCACACCCATCAGAATATTAAAGTGAAAACACTGACAATACCAAGGGAGGACTTGGAATAACTGGATCACCTATAAAATGCTAGTAGGGATGAAAAAGGTTCAGGCACTTTGGAAGGCAGTTGATGTTTTCATAAAGTTAAACATACACTTACAATATGTGTTATTTTCCTATGGCTATTGCAACAAATTATTGCAAAGTTGGTGGCTTAACATAATAGAAATTTATTCTCTTAACAGCTCTGGGGACTATAAAAATCAGTTTTACTGGGCCAAAATTAAAGGCTCCAGTGAACAGTCTGTTCCCTGCCTCTTCCAGTTTCTAGTGACTGCCAGCATCCCTTTGCTTATAGCTTTATCCCTCAATTCTCTACATCTGTCTCCACACCACTGTCTCCCTCTGCTTTTCTCTTAAAAGGGCACTGGTAATGGCATTCAGGGTCCACCCAGATAATTCAGGATTATCTCCTCATCTTCAAATATTTAACTTAATCACATCTGCAAAAACTTTCCTAAGAGGTAACATTCACAGGTTCCAGAGATTAGAACCTGATATCCTTGGGTGGTCACCATTCAGTCCAATAGACCATACAAATCAGCTGTCACACTCCTAGAGAAATGAAAATGTATGTCTGTACCAAAACCTGTACACAACTGTTCAGAGCAGCTTTATTTGTAATAGACAAAAACTGGAAACAACCCAAATGTACTTCAATGGGCGATGGTACAATTATGCAGTGGAATATATGCATCCATGAAAAGGAATAAACTGTTGCTACAAACAACTTAAATAATCTCAAGGGTGTTATGCAAAGTGGAAAAGACAATCTCAAAAGGGTGTATATTGTATAATTCCACTTATATAACACTTCTGAAATGACAAATTATAGTAATGGAGAACGGGTTAGTGGTTACCAGGAGTTAAGTTGAAGAGGAAGGTCTGACTATAAAGGAGTAGAATGAGGAAGTTTCTTTGTGGTACTTTGTGGAAACAGTTCTTTATCCTGATTGTTGCAGTGATTATATAAATCTGTACATATGACACACTTTCATAGTACTATTGTAACTCTGGGGGAAGGGCAGAAAATCCCAGGGCAAATTACCTTTGAAACTGAAATCAATCTAAGGGAGAAGAAATAGAGTGGGAGAAACCCATTTTTTGCTTACAAGCAGTTGTCCACTTCCGCTCTCCCATGTCTCTCATGACCCGGCTGCAGAAGAAGGGACCCATTCCACCTCTCAGATATGCCCTCGCTCACCCTTGTAATTAAGGCCAGGCGAGAGAGTCTAGAAATACTGCAGTTTACCCACAGCTACACACCAAAAGGAAGTACATATAAAAACTGGTAAAAATTTAATAGGATCTGTAGTTTGGTAAATCATATTGTATCCATGTCAGTCTCTGAGTTCTGAAATCACTTCATGGTTATGTAAGATGCTGTTACTGGGGAAAGCTGGGTGAAGAGTACACTAGAACCCTCTGTACTATTTTTGTAATTTCTTATGAGTCTTCAATTATTTAAAAATAGAAAGTTCAACACAAAACAAACAAAAAAAGGAAATTTATGGGTCTGTAGGTGACAAGTCTAAAAATAGGATGGGCTTAAGGTGTGATTTGAATAGTTCACAACTTTCTTAGTCTTGTAGCTCCGTCTTTTGAGATTCTCTCAACTACCTTCTGTAGTGTGTGAGCTTTCTCCTCAAGCTGACTTTTCTTATGGTAGTAAGTTGGCTGCCAGCAGTGCCTGGGACTATGTGGTTTTTGTTCCCTTCTAGCCAGGAATGGAAAGAGGAAGCTCTCTCTTCTTCCAACCAGGAAAAAAAGGCCTGAGCTCTACTCTGATTGGAACACTTTAGGTCATGTGCCTACCCCTAAAACAATCACTGTGCCCAGGGATGTACTTTGGACACATTGCTCATCCATGTGGCAAAAGAATGAGATTACCCAATTGGCTCAGATCAATTCAGGCCCCACTGCTGGAGCTGGGATGTGGCCAAGCGCGTCCAAATATAGCTGTTATTACCAGGTGGGAAGAGGCAGAATGGATGTTGGGTAGCCAACTCCAATGTCCAATACAGCTTCCTTCTTGAAATTCACTCTTCTCTTGGTTTTCAGAGGTACCATTCTTCCTGGGTACCCTCCATCAATTGGTCTTAAAGCAGAGGAGTTTTCTAGAAAGAGAAAATGTAAAATATCATTCCAGGCAGAAGAAATAGCACAAGAAAAGAAATAGAGATATGAAGGAATGAACCCATTCAGGGAACAATGAAAATTTTAGTGTAACAAAGCATAGAGTTCTTGAGTAATAGTAATGAAGCTCAAGAGAAGGGACAGGGCTAGTACATGAAGACCCTTGAATCCTACCTCAATGACCACAGGTAATGGGAAGACGTTGAAGGCTTTTGAGAAAGAATAGTACATGGACTCATTGACTTTAGAAAGATCTCTCTGGCTATAGTCTGGAGGATGGACTTGGAGCTGGGGAGACTGACTGAAGGCTGTTCTAGTGGTCTGGGCAGAAGATGAAAGCCTAGTGGAGAGTGGTAGCCTTGAGGATGGAGAGAAATGGGTGAATATGGCAGATGGTGATTTGGGGGAATCAGGAGGACCTGGAATGTTGCTTGGCTTTGAGAAGCAGCTGGGGTAGAAGGTGTGAAAGATGACTCACATTTCTGGCTTAAACACTTGATACACTTTTTATCCAAAAAGATACGAATGCCCAATTATATCAAATGCTTCTGATAAGTCAAGGAAATAAGGATTTATAAGTGACCATGGGATTTTAGTGACAAAACATTTTAAGATATGTGGGGGCAGGAACTAAATAAATTTCAGAAGAATAAGTCATGAAGGGAAGTGGAAAATAGTAAGACCAAGTGAGCCTCCTTTCAAGTTCAGGTATAAAAGGAGAGGATAAAGCACTAGATGACAAAAGTCCTGGAATTTATTCTTAGAGAAGAGAATAATGTATGTTTAAAAATTTCCAGCACTCCTCTGCTTACTAGCCATGTAGTCCATAGCCTCATATATAAAATAAGTATCTAATAGCATCTACCTCATGGGTTTATGGTGGTTAATTCTTCATATTTCCTAACAATTATTTATTGTCTGTCTTCCCCACTAAACTTTAAGTTCATTGGGAACATTGACAGCTCCTAGTGGTTGATGTGACATATTGTTAATAAATATTTGTTAAATGAATGATACATTTAAGACTCTGAGCACAGGCCTGCCCAAGGTAAGCACTCAAAGAAGTGAGCTAGGGTGCGTGAGCCTGGGAGGAGGGGCTGCAGGAGGAAACCCCATGCCCTCTCTTGCTGTTTTCCAGACCACGAGGAGGAGGTGCCCCCTGACTGCCAAGGTGGGAATGCAGGCAATTTGGTGCAGGTGCCAGGAGTGAGCTCGCTCAGGCAGAGTCACCCCTTCCTGATCCCACAGTTGGACCACAATGAGGAGCAGGCTGTGGAACCCAGACAGCTTCCCCAGCACTGCTTCATGGCCACAGTGACTGCCAGTAACATTCCAGGCAGCCCTGAGGGGGATTCTCTCCCCAGTCTGGACCCATGTGGCCCAGCCCCATAAACATCCAATAAAAGTCTCTTTACCATCCTCTTCTGGAGTCTCTTTTCAGTGAAAGGTGGGAGTGGGGGTGATCAAATGGACTTTGGAACCTAGTGGGATAAGTGAGGGCTTTTCTCAACAAACCTACCCAGGCCTTGCTGTGGACCCACTTATACTGCTCTGCCTGGCCTCTGTGGACCAAAGGGAATTTAAACATGGGTCCCATGTAGAATGGTCAGTAACCACTCCATGCAACCATGAAGAAGCCCAAGGCCTGAGGAGGCTCAGAGGAGCCCCTCACCTAACCTGGGGAGTCTGAGAACTCTGGCTGGGTCTTCCTGCTGCAGAGCAGGTATACTCAGGATCCCCTGGGAGGATGATTGGGACCCAGAGGCAGGTGACCCCTGCCTCACTCTGGAGTGAGCCCCTTGCCAAAGAACAGAATGAGAGGGGTGTGGAGTACACAGGGCTGGGCCATGTTTAATATCATTCCATCTCTCAGGTGGATAGAAGAGTGAATGAACAAGTGAGCGAGGGAATGAATGGTTGACAGACCAAACACAGGCTCCACCGTGTGGACACAGCTACTTCCTGACGCTGCTTGGCTTTGATAAAGTCCCCTAGTGTCCCTGAGACTCAGTTTCCTTGCAGGATTATGGCAAGTGTTCAAAGAGATGATAGATATGAACTCCCTTCATAAATATGAAAGTGCTACAAAGACTTCTTCACTATTTCAGATGGGTGTTCTTCAATATAATATAGTGAGTAAAGAGCAGGGACTCTAGAGTCAAATGCCTGTTTCAAATCCTGTCCCTGCCCTTAACTGCTAGGTAACAGTTGTGCTTCTGTTCTCTAAATATACAGGTACAATCGTAGCACCTATCTCTTAGGATTTGGGGGAAGAATAAATTACTAGTCCATGCAAAGTACTTAGAATAGTGTTGGCAAATAGAAAGCACTACGTGTTTGCTATTATTTTGTTTTGTTTTGTTTTGTTTTGTTTTATTAAGCTGATAGCAAAGGAATCTTAGGGCAGGATGCCAACAGCCACCCCTCTTTTCCTGGATGTTCTCCTCATCTTAATTTTAGCAGTGGCTTTAGGCTTGCCTTAGGCGTGCAAGGCAAGGATCAGGAAGACTAAGTAGCCACTGAAAGCAGCTCCTGACATTTCTGATAGTAACATGACCTGCAACAGGGCACCATTCACTCTTAGGCATCTGTACAAGGAACCTGAGCCAGCCAAGGGCACCTGATGGAGTGGCAAGGCAGGGTGAGTCACCCACAGAAGTGCCCTGGGCTGGAAGTCAAGAGACCTTTTTTCCATCTTGCTTTATTTGTTGTCTTGTGTACATTTGGTCGGAGGGGCGGGGAGGGGAGAAAGTGAAGGTTTCTGTGGCCAGGATTCTCACCTGGCCCTGGTTTTGGCTAGCAGACTACACGCATGTGGGCAATATATTGAACTCTGTATAAAGAGCTCTGCCCACTGCTCTGGGCGACATGGTGGCATGGCTGCAGGGCTGTAAGGCTGCCTGACAGCAGAGACTAGATCCATGGCAGTGCCGAGGACAGAGACTGAGACAGCTGCACGGGCAGAGAGGCCCAGAGGCAGAGACCGGCTTGCTGCAAGCAGACTCGCTCTGAGTGGACGGGATTCTAATGACTGACCTGCCACTATGGGAATAAAGTTGGGTATGAACCCCAGGGGCTGAAACCCATTGGCAAGACAGGGCGTTATTTTCAGCATTCTAAACCCAACACCGTTGTCCCTCTGTCTTATATTCAGTGGTGTCTATTCTGTGCCAGCTAACAGAAACAGCAGGGAATCAGCCACAGCTGGTACCTTCAAGGGGTTCATATGGAGGGCAAAGTAGAAACACAAAAGGGCAGAGGGCCCAATGGCGGCCTTTCATGTAGCATGAGGGAGGCAGAAGTGAAGTCTGAACTGAATCATCAAAGATGAGTCAAAGTTTCCAGGTGAGACAAGGTCAGAAGACATTATGGTCAGAGTACAACATGTTCAAAAACAGCGAGAAAGTGTAGTACAGTCCAGGAACTGCAAGTTATTTGTTGTAGAGGGAGCTTAGGGAAGTGATGGGGGCAGGGAGAGTGGGTGATAAGTAGGAGGTTTTGTCTCTGACGCTCTGTGTGACCTTTCCCAGGGCAGATCCCATCTCTCTCCTTGGTACCCCCATCAGCAAAACTCAATTTTTCCCTGAACACTTTCTGTGCTGGGCCTTCTGGGAGATTGCAAGGAAGAATCCAACACTGCACTTGCCTTTTGGCTGCTTTTGGTCTGCGTGTGAGATCATCTGTAAATTGTAAAAACTCAAGGGTTATCAGTGGCCTAAGGCAGTGGTTCTCAAACTTCAGCCTGCATCAGAATCAGCTGGAGAGCTTGTTAAAACACAAATTGCTGGGCCACCTCTCTCCCACCTCAGAATGTCTGAGTCAGAAGATCCGCTAAATCCCCAGAATCTGCATTTACCTAACCAGCCCCCTGTGATGCTGATGCTGCTGATCTGGGACCACCTTTGAACACCAACCATCCAAGAAGAACAGAGCCTCAGAGGAGAGGCTAGGAGGAGACCTCACAGAGAGCGAGGCCCCAAAGCCCTGGCAGAATTTCCCTAGAAGAGCCTGTGTGGAAGGGGTGGGGATGTGTGCTGCCTTTGTTGACTGGCACATGTCAGGCTGCATGAAGCTCCTCCCCATCCTCCATGTTCAACTTCTTTTACTTGAATTCAGTCCTCAGAGCTGGCTCTTTCTGGGTTTGGCTTGTCTGAGTCCTGAGCTGGAAACAAACTGCCCACCCTGTGCAGTGGGAGCCCCCTCCTGCAGGGCAGCAGAGGAGGAAGGATGCTAGGCGGGCTGACGCACAGACAGAAATAGCCTGAGTTCACCACTGCTCCCAAGTACGCATCGACCAAGAGGCAATTATTCCTTGCAAATTGCTTTCCAGGTTATGTTCAGAACATGCGTGTTGCCTAGCTGAGAACAAACACTTGGAGGGCACAGAGTGGATGTGGCTAACTGGAGAGTGGGCTCCAGATGGAGGAGACCCCAAGTGTGAATCTTCAGCCAAGAATTAGGGAACTGTCTTTATCCTGAGGTAAAGGGAGAACCACAGGAAAGGTTTTTCAGCATGGGAAGGAACTTGGTGTAAGGTTTTAGGTTAGGAAAGGAAATAGAAGAGGGGTGGCTCTATGACAACACAAGTTTATTAGAGATGAACCAGCAGAGGGGGTCTCCAGCAAAGGACTGAAGCCCCCATCCGTGTACAGGCTGGGGTAGATACAGGGCAGAGGGAGGAGGTACTCTGGAAAGTGGGAATTTTTGTGGTTACTGTTGCTAGCAAGGTAACTTTTGCTGTTAGGTTGATAGTGGCCAAGCAGGGTACTCTCGCGGCTTGGGCTCAGGAAATTCCCTTTCTTCTCAAAATGGAGACAGTGTTAAGATGGCCAATCTCATGCTAACACTTAACAAGTTGTGTGGTAGTTTGCTCTCGTGTTCTTCATGACACTGGAGTGAAATTTGCCACTGAGGAGCTCTGCTTCTGTGGCCTATTGAACACCTGCTCTTTTGGTTCCTGAAACTTCAGAAGTCTGAAGGATGGCAATGGCTCATGTGCCCACAAGAAATGGCTGAGACCGTGGACATCTCTCCTCCTGTCACGAGGAGGTCATTCCACTGTCATTTGTGACACTGCCCTTCCTGGTCTGTGCCCAGTTAGCTCAGGGGCCAGCGCACAGTACAGCTGAGGCCCAGGCCAGAGCCCAGAGCCCAGGAGAACAGTATGCCTTGCTCTGGCACAGACACCTGGGGGGCTGTCACAGGCAGAGCACTAACAAGGTTGTGAATGGCTCCTTGCAGGCCTCTCCACACCTCACAGGATCAAGCCCTAAGGTAGTGTTGACTGAGGAACACGACAGAACACGACAAGCCCATTAGGACTGAAGATGCAGCCCTACCCTCGGGGACTTAGCACTAGGAATGAATAGGCTTGACCTATGAAATCTCTAGAGAGAAGTCAGAGTGAATTCGAAAGCAAATGCCAAGCTGTGGGATCAGGGCCGTCAAAGTTGCAGAGAGTCTGAAACAGTAGAAAAGAACAACAGTCTGGCAGCCTTTGTGGAAAAAGTAGAAGTTGAATTTGACCTTGATGGATCATGACAATATTTGAAGGGTCTCAATGAGGTAGAGGTCTCATAATGTCAACTTTATATTTAAAATGAGTGCCAGTTATGGTTCCAAGGACTTTGGACATATAGGTCATTTTCCAGTTCCACCCCAGCCATAATCATTCAACAAACATGGAGTTAACATATTTTGTGTGCCAGGCCTTGCCCTGAGCACTAGAAACAAAGAAATGAGTCAGTCATAATTCCTGCCTTCAGGGAGCTCTCAGGCTATTGGAAGAAGACTGGTAGATTAAGTAGACAGTTACAATATAGTATGAAAAGTGCTATTATTTCTTTATTCATTCATCAATTGGCACGTGGCTTACCACTAAGATAAGTCATGCTAGTTTCATACACAGCATTACATTAGTCCAGTGTAACTCCATCAATCAGCCCAAAGTGCCAACACACAGAATCATGAGCAAATAAATGGTTATTGTTTTAAACCATATGTTTTGGGGTAGTTTGTTACACAGAAGAAGAGTACTAGTACAGTTCTTTTCACATATTTTATTACAATTATGAAGGGACCTGTCTTCTTCACTTGTCTGTGAGTTCCTCCTTAGATGAATTGAAGCTGGCTTTTCACTATCTTCTGTATGCCCCATCAGATCCACTTGCTTTCTTCTCAACCTTGCTCTCTACCTTGGGTGGGTGATTTGTATGGGTTACATGAAGGAGCTAAGATTCCAAGGGATCTGCCGTTGGAGATACACTTTAATCAGAAAGACTTGGGTCTGGATCCTTTCCCTGTGGCTTCCTAGCTCTGTGGCCTTGGGCAAATTTCTTCACTCCTCTGAGAATCAGTTTCTTCATATGTTAAATTTGGATAACAAATACTAACTCTGCAAGGTAGTTGCTC